CTCACACAGGTCCAAGAACACTTTAGGGACCATTGGTGAACATCACAAGTGGAAGGAAGGTGCAAAAATCTCAAGACAAAATGAAGATTCTGAATTTTTGTGCTGTACCCGGTCGGGTATGCCATATACCCGATCGGGTACCCTACTGGAAAATCAAATCGGATCAACCCGGGAACCAAGCAACATGCGGGGAAGATTTTGACCATGTTCGAGTGTTATACCCGATCGGGTGACCGACAGACCCGATCGGGTATGACCTTATTTTTCAGCTTCTGGGAAGCGTCTGAGTGTACCCGATCGGGAGCCTCCTATACCCGATCGGGTACACACCCCTGCATGCTCCATTTCCCTATAAATAGACCCCTTTCCTTCCCACAAGAGATCACCAATTCACATATATTCTTTAGCTCAGTTTAGATTAGTGTTTTCTTTATATTTTCTATCATGTTTAGTCTCCAAATGAGGAGCTAAACTCTTCCATCTTGGTTTTGCTACTTTGAAGCTTATTGAATTTGTAAGTTGTGAGTTATTATCTTTAATCTTCTTCCTTGAATATTAATTCTCCCTTTAAATATTATTTCTATATCAATGTTGGAGAGTGTTACTAAGATGACAATTAGTTAACATCTTGACATTAGTTATAGTAATAGCTATTTCTTCCTCTATGTTAATATTGGGGAGTGTTACTAAGATGACAATTAGTTAACATCTTGATATTAACTATAGTAGGATTCATCTTCTTTAATATTCTTCCTTGAGTATTAATTAATTCCTATTCATATTTCATATTAATATTCTGAACATTGCTTAAAGGATCAACTAGTTTTGTTTCATATATTAATTATTACTAGAATCGGTCGATTAATACGCTTGTTATTAATTCGGTCCTTTCATGGTAGTAAACTTGGGTTATTAATGCATGCGTTTCATGGTTAATAAACCAAGGGGAATTAATTATATTGATTAAACCAATAAACCGCTTGTGTTGAGGTTATCAATCTCAATCGTTTTCATCTTGATTTTATTGCTACTATCGAGTGAATATATGGCGCGTGTTCTATATTAACTCGGTAGTAAGTTTTATTAATGAACGCGTCTCGTTATTAATAACTACCCTCGATGAATTGGATATACTCCTCGATTGAGTATTCGAGAGGAAGATAGTTAAAGATATAACTGGGATCGACGAACATTTTATTAAGTGGATAAAAGCAAAACCAAGTCTCCTTCTCATTAATTAAACCACATAACTCGTTCATCTTTGTGTTTTAATATTCTTAAAAGTTCTTCAACAACAAATCTAAAACCCCCCTTATTACTAATTATAAAAAGAGAAGTATTCCTTTCCCTGTGGATACGAACCTTACTACGCTATACTACGTATAAGTTTTGTATTGTATTATTATTTTGAGTGCACATCACGACAAAGTGCACGTCAACAATCACTATGGATATATATTGCCTTAGACGATGAGGTCAGGCCGAGTTGGGCATGTGGGGCTTGACTATGAAGGAGACAGAGGCGGGTCTAAGGGCACAACTGGTCGGGAGCTATTGCCGTTCCCCTGATGAGCCCAAGGCAGGGCGAAACCAGTCCGGTCCCGTATGAGAGCAAGGCTTGTCCGCGGGGTGAGGGACCCCGGGACGCCGCACGGGCGCTGTGGGCTGCGCCAGACTCTATGCCCGTGACATATACACACACACACACACACACACACACACACACACACACACACACATATATATATATATATATATTACGGAGTATACAAATAGAATGAAATTAGACTGACCCCATTGTGTAGTGTTTATAGTAGCTGTTGCTATATATTCTTATTCGTATATAAATATAAATACTACGTGCATTACTAGAATCGCGTTACATACAGAGTATAATGATCGAAAGGGTTATGATGAAGTAATGGCCCTTTGACCACGGCCCATATACTCCCAGACATGCGGATGGCTCGGTACGAGTCACCTTGGCGGACGGCACCTCAGTATGAGGAATTCTATACACAACCACTTATTTACTAAATACAGCCACAATATTTTACAATTCCTAATATACCCTATATGATACATTTACTAAGTATAGCCACGCTCCATCCAAAAGAGACCGCCTTTTGGTGCTGCGCAGGGGAGCTAAGGTTATCCCGATGTCAACCATGTACGTGAACTGCAATCAAAGTTGTAGAGCTTGTAGCCTTGAAGGAAACGTGACTCTCTAACCTTAAAATTAGAGTTTCAAAGCTTCATTATCATATGGCTTCTATGGCTAATTCTCAATCTTTCAGTACAAATCTTCTTCACAAATCATAATATCCTCACTCATGTTGAGAAGGTATCAATGTAATCATACCGGAACTAGATTCATCAATAGTTCTGAGTTTCAAATCCATACACTAGCCACTTGATTACAAGAGAATTCTTCATCCCTTACCTAGCCGATTGACATCCTCTGCTCTGTGGAGAAACAACAACGAAGTGGAGTCCTATTCCCCTGTGTTAGAAATCTGCGCCAAAATTCTTCTTCGATCCATTGCGTCTCAGCCGTAGATTACTTGCTTCGTCCACTGACAGAGAGTGTTTTCCCAGAGCTTGTTTCCTCTTCGGCACCATTGACAGGTCGATGGTTGTATGTATGTATACGGGTGATGTGTGTTAATTGCACTAGTTCTTTTTTAGCAGGAAGTAATTGGTGTGCAGGATTCCGATCGTTCATTACGGTTAGGTGATTAATTAAGGGTAGCTTGGGTATTATAATTATTTAGTGGCTGTAAATAGAAATTTGGAGGCTGTAAATAGAAATTTGGAGGCTGTAATAGTATCAACAACTGGGCTTCCTTCACCAGCGGGCCCGAGGAGCCACCATAAGGAGCCAGCGTGGGCAGATACTCTCACAGGACCCGTGTTGGGTTATAATGCTTGTAAACAGCCCATTAGCGGTCTATTATTGTAATCGGGCATCCCAGGTCCAAGACCTGGGAGCCCGACCCAACTTTCCCCTTAAAATACCACTCCTGGGGTAGTTGTAAGGGGTTCAGAAATCATTTATTACAAGATCTTTCTCTCTCTACATTTAGCTATATCTTCTCTCTAAGCCCTTCGGCCTAACTAGGAAGCTATCAGGTTACTTATTAAAATAGGACTAAAAGCTGATGATCAGTTTGCATAAATAGGATAAAAAAGTAAACTATGTTTTGATAAGACTAATTATGTGTGTGTTGGACAAATATACTCGTATAGCTATTGAAATGTTTTAATTCATAATAAAAAAATTCGTAAAAAATACTAAAAAATTAATAAAAATATTTAAATGATAATAATTTTAAAAAAATAAAATAAAAATAAAAAAAGAATAATAAAAAATTAAAAAATTTAAAAAAAAAACGCAAAAAAACACCGCCTCTGCCACCCCACTACCCTAGCACCACCGCCTCCAGACTCCAGGGGAAAAAATGCCACATTCATTACGAATGCCATATTTATGGCAAAATCAATGAAAATGTTTGCATTCTCAGAGTAATGTGCCATTTTTTGCATTTTCAAGAAAAAATGGCAATATTTAGAAAATTGGTATTTTTTACACCGGTCGGAGGTGGTGGTGCAGGGAGGCAGTACAGACGGTGGGAAAAGCATCCATATATTTTTATTTTTTTAAGGAGTTTTACTGTTTTTATTTTTATTTTTATTTTTTTTTTGTTTTTAATTTTTTTATAAATATTTTATTATATTTTTGTTATTTGTCTACGATTTGTTGAAATTTTTTCGAATTTATTATGAATTAAACATTATTTATGACTTTTGATTAGCCTTTACTCATATTTAAAGGAGGGGTAAAAATGGAATGATAAAGTGGGTTTGTTTCCAATAAGAGTAATATGATTCTATTTTGGAATAAAAACAACTCCTATTTTGAATTTTTGTCACAATTTTCCTTGTTTTGGAATTATATAGTTTTTAGAACAAGAATAACGCTATGTTGTAAGACCCGAACCGGACCGGCCGGTTCGACCCGAAAACCGGTCACCTGGCCTTATATCCGGTCCGGTTGAGTACCGACCCGTAAATCAGCCCAAAACCGGAATTACCCATCGACCCGCCGAAACCCGGGACAGACCCGACTCGTCCCAAACCCAGAAAATGCCTAAAACCCAGAAAAATGGTCGCCAGGAGGAATCGAATTCGCGCCTAATGCTTCAAACACGGATCTGCTGACCAACTAGCTACACTAGCTTGTTGATATTTACGGTGCATTAGCTATCCTTATAACTTATTAGTCTGGAATATTTTAATTAGTCTTAATTAATTAATTAATTAACTAATAATACAAATACTACTAAATACATACCAATGCTGCTATGTGCTATTATTCTTTTGGTACATAATCTCCAACTTTGTTGTATTGTATTTTATTTTGTTAATTGGTATTATGTTCATATTTATTACCCATCTAAATCCCCAAGTATTTTATATTTTTTTAAAAATCAATACACTTAAATACATTAGTTTTTAAGTGTAGGAATAAACTATTATGTTCATAATAGTTTTTCTACATTGCTTATATTTTACTCCGTATTATCATTATTAAATTATGTAGGAATATAATTTTTCTAATGATGAATTCAATCTACATATAATTAATTAATTATGTGTATAATCGTTGACCGGGTTTAACCGTCATTGACTGGATCGACCCGCTGGGTTCGGGTTGACCCATGACCCAATCATATGTCGGGGTCGCTCTGTGGTCATTACAACGGAATAAGGTACATAAGGAGTATACATATAATGATATAATGAATTTACTTTTATTATTAGTGTGTGGAAATTAAACATCATTTCATTCTGCAGGTGGGGCCTCTCTTCTCTCTTATTCTATGTGACGTTAATAAACCAAAAAATCTTCCAACCATCCTATCGCCATCCATTATTATCTAGCATCCAGCCCAAAATACTACTGTATATATAATCTTTTGATCGATCGATCATCACACCGGCCACTTACTTACTACCTTAGCTTAATTAGCTTTCTCCATATGATCTCAGAGACCGACCCCACAAACAAGCTAGCTAGCTAAAGATTTATAGAAGATCGATCGACCAGAACGAAAGCCGCAAAAGATCCATCGAAACGAAGTTATAAGCTAGCTATACTACTATCCATCCATATGTATTAAAGTTATTAGGTAGGCAGGGTGAGGCGGGCGGAGCGATGAGCTTTGGCGGCAGTGGGGGTGGGGGGCCATGCGGCGCGTGCAAGTATCTGAGGAGGAAGTGTGTGAACGGGTGCGTGTTCGCGCCCTACTTCGAGTCGGATCAGCTGGGCACGGCCCACTTCGCCGCCGTGCACAAGGTGTTCGGCGCCAGCAACGCCTCCAAAATGCTGATGGCCATTCCCGACAACCGCCGCCTTGAAGCCGTCGTCACTCTCTGCTACGAAGCCCTCGCTAGGGTTAGAGACCCCGTCTACGGCTGCGTCGCCCACATCTTCACTCTCCAACACCAGGTGCGTGCGTGCGTGCCTTACACAGAAATTAAATATATTTCGTTGCCTGTCTTTCTTTAATTTGTTACACAGGATAGATTTAATTCATACCTTTTAATTGTGCTCGCTTTTATTTATCTAATTTTATTCACCTGCACATTTTTGAAACTTTTTATGAATACCAACAACTTCTTTTTTTATACTCCTTTTCTCCCGAATGATAAGACACTTTACGATTTACGATTATTGACCGACAATAAAACAAACAGATCTATATCTGCGCCTAAATTATTTTTAAAAAAAGATTTATATATTCAGAAATTACATTTAAAGCTTTATAAAGTCGCAAAAAAAAACAAAATCAAAGTGATTAAAATTTGATATATTAAGATATTAAGAGTGATTTGTGTTGACCAAATGAATAAGAAAAATATCTTACAAAATGATCATGAGATGAGGGAGTATAATTTTTTGCCGTGTTTTTTTTAAATGAACATTTTTACTATTTGCATCATTAAATCTGCAAGTGATTAAAATAAATTGTTCGATTAATAACGCTCACAATAGAAAAACTACATACTAAATTACAAATTTCCATTGATTATATATATTCGATGGAAATCAAATAGATCCATATAGCGAAGTATGCTAATAGCGAGCTTTTGAGGCAAGCACCCTGGCCTCTTTTGATGTCGAAGAAACATTATAGAAATCTGATTAAAAACTTTAATTTCTAAGTGAGTGTTTAGACAGTAAAAATAAAAAATTGAGTGTTTAGACTTAAGCGTTATAGAAACTGCTTGCAAAAAGCTAATATTGCTATGCTGAAGAATTGAATTGCATATTCAAAACTAGATATAATACTTCACAGTGATCTGTAACTTCTCACGTCAAATTTGATTGGTAATTTTGTGTGGTTCTAAATCATTCTTCTTTTACCCTTGCATTATCAATTTAATATCAATCACATAAACTTACTTTTCCTAATCAGCAATATAATATGTCACCCGGCTTCTCATATACCAATGTAAGTGGAATGGAAGTAGTACCATTTTGATCTGAGTACTATACTACTATTAAATTTGAAAAATTTTAATTACTTTGGGTATGGATATTGAAATAAGCGTCAGACCATATATCATTGCATTATACTATCGTATTAGAATGAGCAACTTTCCTTAAAGTTCATATCTTAATTATTAAACCGTAATACTTTGTGAGAAATATTACTTCCACTCTATTTCTTCTCACTTTCTTTTTTTGGACGCAATTTTAAAAAGTCTCATTCCTTAAACAAAACTATACAAAAGACTAAAGAAAATCATTTGAGGAAGCTTGGTCTTGTAAAGAACAGTTAATATGCAATGATGGAATAATTAAAGAGAAAGTTATAAATGCGCTTTGTACGATAATTCAATGCTGGAGGAGCTACGGAGTCTGGGAGCAAAAAAAAAGCAGTCAATGTCGTAAGAAATGGTGTACGTAGCTGGCCGGCTGGATATATATAGATGAGGAAATTCTTAAATTTCATTTCACAATCATTTATTTGTAGCATTAATTTTCTGGTCTACTCTACGTACCTAGCAAGCAAATACGGAGTATATGTTCTATAGTTCACAATCCATCAATTTTAGTGAACTAAAACTTTTTTACATCTGATAATCACTCAAGTTTACATGTAATTCGAAAACATAAAATTCTATAGAAAAGTTACATGCTGTATATAATAAATTGAGATAAAACTAATACCGAAAAACACAAAATAAAAATAAAACTAAAATGTAAGAAGATAATTTTGGTTTTCAAACATATTTAATTTGGACTACGTTTTTGTGAAGAAGAAAATGTATAACGTTTTTCAGGACTAAAAAATGCATAACTTATAGGACTACTATACGGAGTATAATTTGGAAAACTTTTTATATAAAAAATCATACTCCGTATTTAAATACTGAATATTTTGCCTTATTCATTTATATACGTAGTATAAATTTTAACATTCCTTGCAATTTGTATCGTTTTTATTAATATCTATATATTTCTAAAATTTTCTCTAGATTTCAAAAAGGTTTACCTCTTTAAACAAAAAAGGTTGACCTCCGATCCTATTGGAATCATTTACGCTAAAAATTCCAAATTGTTTTTCCCATGATGGTTTACGCTTGTACACATGGATGGATCACTGGATCTACCCTTTCCCTAGACCCTTGGCCCCCTCACATTTTATACGGAGTAACTCCCAAATTGTGAAGGATACTTCACTAGAGTGCCGTATCGGCGTATTGGAAACGTTCCCGTATCCGATACTCTAGGATGCCCGTATCGTACATTTCTGGACCGTATCTGAAATTTTTAAAAATTTCCATTTTTTGGTAATTATTTTAAAATTTCAGATACTCGTATCCTGACGGATACCAGTATCAACTTTTTCAAAAAAAAAACCAAAAAAAAAACTTTTTTAGAAAACACCCAAAATTTACATAATACGTAGTAAAATTCTTTAAAAATGATAAACTAAAAATAATTTTTACTTCGCTTTTATGTGGTACACAACTAATTGGCCTATTCCTAATTCACTCATCCTCCTATCCCTAATTCTAATTATCTCTGAAAATTAATAGCTCCAACGGAAATATGTTTTCTATCTTCATTATTCTAGAATTTTGAGTACTTATACTTTTAATTTCAAAATTGTACTTGTTTGACTTATTTCTCATTTTAAATTAATGACTTATTGACTATATTTATATTTCGAGATGCACTAGTGTTTTTTTTTTCTTTTTTGTTTTTTTGATGCACTAGTGTATATGAGATAAAATATGAACTTATTTCTAAGTATCTTGAAAATGTAAGATGCTTCAATGCCATGAATGAGTAGACGTCAGAGAATGATATATGTCTATTTTTTTTTTCAAAAAAGTGGCATTTTTAATATTTATAAATACACCCCTGTAACTTTTAATATTTATAAATACACCTCCATAACTTTTACTCCCTCCGGTTCTAAATAAACTTCGCACTTTCCTTTTTGGAACGGTCCAAAATAAATTTCACACTTCCTTATTTCCTTATTTGGCAAAGAAATATACATCAAAACAGTGTTAAACAGTGCTAAACAGTGCCAAACAGTGTCTCAACAATGCCAAACAGTGTCTCAACAGTGTCAAACAGTGTCTCAACAGTGTACTCTACAGTAAAGTCAACTTTATTTCCTTAATAACTGTGAAGTCAAACACTGAAGTTTAAAAAGAACCGGAGGGAGTAATATTTATAAATATGGCCCCGTATTCGTATCCTACTTTTTTTTGTTTTGTCGTATCCCCATACTCGTTTCCGCGTTTCCGCGTTTCCGCGTACCCGTATCGGTGCTACATAGCTTCCAATTGATTTCTCCAAAAAAAACCTCCAAATTGAATATTATTGTTTGTATTTTAAATTAGTAGTTTAAAATTCGTTAAATTAGATTGCATGTTTGGCCTTTTGTTAAATAGTCCATACTATTTAAGTAAAATTAGGATCTGTATCACTGTCAATAATAAAATTAATTTATACTCCAAATTACACGAATATCCTTTACTCCGTATAACAATGAATATATACGACAAAACTTAAATTATCTTCATTGCTTTACAAATCATACTCCCTCCATCCAGCTAGAATTGTTTCATCTTTCGTATTTGATCCGTCTACTAATATTGTCTCATATCAAATTTGGTAAATTTTGTTTGGCTTTAAATCATTTTTACTTTATACTTCGCATTATTCTTATTTTATCAATTCAAAATTAATCATATAAATCACTTTTCTTAATAATTGTGTCACCCCTCATGTACCAATGCTAATGAGATAGAGGTAGTATTTTTTTGATCATGTTAAGTTGCTACTTAAAATTATTAAAAATAAAATGGCTTTGTCTTTAAAAAGGGTTTGTTGAATCGTATTATGTAATAAATACGTAGCATCATGGAATTGTGATAATTTTTAATGCAATTGAATAATTTATACGGTGTATGGTAGTACGGAGTGTTATTCAATTGCATTATACTTCGTATTGAATCGCGATTTTATTTTTAATGCAATTGAATAAGTTGGATTTTTCTCAGTGGCTTAACTGGCTTTGTCATTAATTTTTACTCAGTGGAATTGTGATTTATAAGGTCCATACGGAGTATAATACGAAGTATAATGCAATTGAATAAGTTTTAGGAAAGTAGGTCTATTTTTCCCGATAATTATTAAATGGTTTAAATATGTTTTTAGTCCCTGCAAATATAGTACATGTTGTTTTACATCCCTGCAAAATTATTTTTTTGTTTTTCGTCCCTGCAATTTAGGTTGGTTTTCTTTTAGGTCATCACTGATGAGAACAACCTTCGTTGGACTTCAAAATAACCCTGATTAATAGATTTCCTCTAATTCTTTGTCATGTTATTAAAAAAGTATTTAATTTTATTTTTTCAAGGTTTTTAATATATATTTTTAAAATGTGAAAAGTAGTTTTACATTGTTTTGACTCTCATATTAGCCACAAAAAAAAGGACAAATTTTAATATTTCTAATAGATATATGTAATAGACAGTAACTTTTTTTGTGAGTAGATTAGTTTCTGAATCAGAGATGGACCAAAAACAAAATAGTCCATATTGCAGGGATGAAAAACAAGAAAAATATTTTGCAGGGACTTAAAACAAATTGTGTCATATTTGCAGGGACTAAAAACATATTTTAGCCTTATTAAATTATTACTACCTATGTCCCATTTTATGTGTCTTAGTTTGACTTGACACGGTTATTAATGAAGTGGTTGAAAAAGTAAAAATTGATATTGAAGTTTGAGTATAATAAAGTGAAATGGTGTAGACCACATATTTCTTTCCAAAAGAGGAAAGTAGACACTTATTTTGGGACAGCCCAAAAAGGAAAGTAGGACAGGTAAAATGGGAGGGAGTACTTGTTTGCCAGAACATACAAGTAGCTCTGATTCCTTGAAATGTACTTTAGCAGCTCAACTAACTAATAGCTTCACATTAATCAATTCTAGAAGTACAATTCTTTTGACTTAATTGCTTTGTTTGAAATGTACCCTTTTCATCATTTAGAATGTTTTTACTTTGGATCGAATTATTTTGTATCTTAAACTAGTCTGAGACCCTTTTCAAGTGCAATATTTTTTAAAATATTGTTTAAAAAATAGTCTTATTTAGTCTGATTTGATCTTGTTTAAACTAGTCTGATCTGGTAAATGTCTGGTCTGTGTCTATTTTATAAATATTCAAGTCTGATCTAATTTGGTTTGATCTGATTTGATTTGATTTTTTTTGGATGATTTGATTTGATTTGAGAATGAAAACTGTCCAAGTTAAAACATTCTAACAAATGTGCGCATAGTCGCGCACCTTAGCTGTTGTGATTAAATTGGTCGAATTAAATTTTCACCTAGCTAGATTGCTTTTTCTTTAAATTCTCATCCATTGATTTTATTTGATACATGGGCGTGATTACTTTTCACCTAAGAAACGTCTTTTATTTGAACCAAATTCCTATACATGCACTAATTATACTACTTCAGTCTCTCATCAAAAGCGGAACAGATCAAACAAAACTTAATAAGATTAGTGTAGACTAGACACCGACATCTTATATAGGGTTGTTTGGATCTGATTCTCAAAACTGATTCTACTCATTCAAGGAGTAGCAGCAGAAGTTGTAGTGTTTGGGTGAAATTTTAGAAGCACTTCTGGTGCTCTAATTTACTCTCAGAATCAGTTTTTTAGAAGCTGAGGGGTACCAGCTTCTGAAAATTGATTCTGATTCTGCTTCTGCTTTAAAAAAGAAGCAGAAGTTTCAAACACCCCCATAGTCTGATTTGATATGTCTAAGGTGCATGAATGAGTACAATGTTTAGTTTAATTTATTGGTCATTAACTTTTATACGTTCTTGGCTTGAATTAATTGAATGAGCTAAAAAAATTCTATTTAATGAATTATTAATATTAAATTAAATATACACGTAGGTTGTAAATTTGCAAGCAGAGTTGGCTTATGTTCAAGCGCGGCTATCAGCGGTCCGTCACCAGCAGCGGCAGCTTCCAGAGGGATCTTGTGAGATGACTTTAGGCAAGGGGTTGGCGGCCGCTTCTCTTGAAGTAGAAGTACTCCCACACAACTCAGCCGCCGGTGGGGACGACGTATCATTACCCTGCGGCAGCATTGATCCTCCGACGTTGGACCACACACCAATTCCAATTCCAACCTCTACAAGAGGCGGCGGCGGAAACCATTCCCATGATAATGAACAACAAGTGGTGGATATGCAGGTTACTTCGGACCTCCACATGTTAGCTTGGGAATTCGTGTCTAAGCACTTGCCAGCCGCAGGTGTCACATTTCGGCCTTCACAATAATTAATTAACCAACTCCGGCCGGCCATCACATTTTGATTAATTAAGCTATCAATCCATATACGCACGTAGTAGTACGTACACTATACATTGTACCCAAATTTAACGTACGCATAACTCATCGATCTTCATATATACATCGATCTAGATAGCTAGCTATAGCTACTTAAATTTAATTACTGAGCTAGCTAGCTAGCTACCTAAGCTACATCGACTACATTTTTTGTCAAAGTTTATTATACATATATACTCCGTATGTATTAGCCGATATGATATGATCGATTAATTTACCCATTGCATTGCATTGCATGGAGTACGTGTAACTCGATCGAACGTTTTATTAATTAAGCTAAGCATCGATCGCCCGAGTTGTAAACTTAATTAATTGAATTCTATAGCTCACACTCTATCTTCACATATCTCTACAATATAATAAGCTTGAATGAAGGTTATGGGTATTGTGGGTATAAAAAATTTGTTGGTGGTATTCTAAGCTTGATTGATATGTACATAATGCTTAAATGATTGTAAACTTTCATCTTCAATTGCCTTTGCCCCCAAGACTCCGTTTCTTTCCCGTTAATTGCCGGTTAGTTTATATTCCTAGGGCCAGCCTTTTCCGTATTTGTCTTCCTCTCGATCCCAGCAGACCCAGCGGTTCCAATCAGGAATTCAGGATTCCCTTGGGTCCTCTGTCCGCACTTTGGCCGCAGAAGACGGAATCAACCTGGGATCGAGCTTCGCCGATGCACGCTCAAACTCCCTCTTGGTTCGCATCCAGCTCAGTCCTTTCATCTTCTTTGGCATTTCTTGGTCAGTTTTTTTCCTTCGATTAATCATAACTCTGGAATTTATTATCCTGTTTAATTTCAGCACATCGATTCTTCTCCTCTCCAGCGGAAGTTATGGAAATCCAGTGGACTCGGCCATCTTCACTCCTCTCCCCTGGCCGTATAAATGCTTGTTGTTCCGTTGGCAGACGATTTTTCCCGCAGCTTCACACTTCTCCAGGTGCGTCTTCTTCCATTGTTCTTGTTTTCCCCTTTTTTACACAATTTGCACACACACGCTAAGATAAGTCTTTTCTACTGTGTTTCAATTCAGTTCGTACTTAAACCAAGTTTCTAATATTCTAGATTTTCTTTAGCTAAATGTAGCATTCTGTGTAGCAATTAGACCTAGGCTGTTACCATTTGCCTGCTGCAGTTTTAATTGTTCAATCTAATGCAATGTACAGATGTGATAAGCTTGCATGAAGGTTAGTAGAAGTACATACTTCTTCCTAATAGGGAAAACAATAAACTTTACAGTAATATGTTGTTATGGTGCTCCTTGTTGGAAGGCTTAGCAGCTCAAGCTAGCAGGCAAGACAACAGTTCCAATCATATGATTGTAGAGAGCATCTGAGCTTGTCTCCGTTCAAAGGGTTAAAGAAGTATAATTTTAATACTATACCTTGTTTACATTCATGGACAACAGCTTAGAGCTTCCAATTATTATGTAGCTACTATCCAGTCACAATTTTGATAGGCACAATTGTTCTACATATAATTACTTCAAGAGTAAGATAATTAAACAGCCACATTCCAAACAGAAAAAGCTGAAAAGCAATGCCTAATGATCTGCCCATATGTACCTAATAAAAATCAGGGAAACATATTTCACCACCGTAATAGTTAAACACAAAAGATCCCAAATGCACCAAAAAGGTGCATACAGCTTTAAACTGAAGTAAACCATCTTGTTAAAACCTTATTGATGATAAAACATATGAAATGGGAATTATGGGATCAACTAAAACTGCGTAATTGGTGATAAAATATACTTACAAAAAGAAAACGTGAATTGTTTAACAAACACGCCACCATTTTATTACAAATCTCAAATACAATAATCACTAAACTGAACTTCACGTGAAAGGCTTCGACCGAAGGCAAAGGAATAACAAAAATGAAAGCGCAGAAGTATGGGTACCGATTGGGCGTTATGCCATTTGAGTCCACGACAGATGTTAACGGAGAAAGTAGCGCCGAGGTAGACGGTGGTGATGCCTAGCCCTGCCGTGAAAGCTTTGAATGCCGACAAAAGAGGGATCCAACCTTTTATTATTATTATTATTATTATTATCACTTGAATCATATAAAAGACAAAATTTTCTCTTAGAGAAAGCATGCATATCTATCTTTTCCAAAACCAATTCTCTTTCACTCCAATCAGTTTCAGGATAATCATCCATTTCACTATGGCCATTAAACTTGCTGAAATCCCTAACTGCACCTTGGCTTGGCCACAAACACCAGCTATACTGTGAAGCTTTAGACTTCTTCTTCTTCTTCTTCAAAGGCTTCTTCTTCCATCCATCTTTGCTACTTATACCCAAAGGATACTCAGATTCTCTCTTCTTATCCCCATCAACACTATTTGAAGGAGAAAACATTTCTTCCAGGGTGGACTTTCCACTGATCACCTCAACTTCTTAAAATCCTTCTGTCATCTTCCACATTTCAAAGATTTGAGCTTTGGCTTCTTTGGCTGCTTCCATGGGTTCCCAGAAAATCTGTCGTGGAGGTTGAAAATCACTTTCAGGAATCTGCATATCATTAGGCTTCTCCAACTCCAAATGGGATCTTGGAATGCTCAAGTGATCCTTTTTCTTTGGCTTCCTCAGAAATCCTAACAGTCTATACTTATGTTGTTTCACATCTTCCTTTCTTTCCTGAGCTTTTTTTGGCCATCTGATTCTTGAAATTTGTTTGGCTTCAGGGTATATTTGCATCTTTCTGGGCAGCAAATTGTGACCTGACAAACAAGACATGGACTAATCAGGATTAGTGGGGAAAATCACGATGTCCAAGAGTCCAAGACCATAAAAGCGGCATAAAAACTGGAGAACTTAAGAAATAGTGCTGGGTTTCTCATAGTTCAGTTTCATAGAAATGGAGGTGTAGAAATGGGCATATTAGTCAAACTCTAAATAGCAACCCATCTTTCTTAAATAAGGTTTTGGTTTTGGGCAATAGTAATTGTTATTATCTGATAAAACCGATTCGTTTCCACTTTCCGTTCCTCCTCTGTGATTATATTCGTCTGGAGTTTTAGCACAGCTTCGACTTTCTAGCTGTTTATAGCCCGACAATGGTTCATCTTCATAACTCTGTCAAAACAAGTCTCAAATTGATGGTCGTTATTTTAGGAGCTGCTGGCTGGGGGCTAAGGTTGAAGAAAGAAAGAAAATTCATACATGAAATATTTAGGACATGAGGGTATCTGTATATAGCTAGCAGAAAGAGAGGTGACGATAAAAAAAATGAGGGTAATAATTACATTACTGTAAATCAGAGAGTGAGAGCTTCTTATTAGCTACCGACCAATCTTCTCAACAGAAAATTAAAAACAAAGTCTTTAGCTACAAATGAAGCCAATGGCCTGAGCTCTAGCTTTTATGGCCACTTGAATATTTTCATCTGCCTCTCTGTCGCCTCTCAATCTTCGCCATTAGTACTCCTAGCTTTCTTGCCTTTTCCTCCCCTTCTTCTCACCCCATCTCTTTCAGCTTGCCTATATCTATGCCACGGACTATTAATTATTTACAAAGTTCTTAACTGGCGTTATATACTACTATTTGTTTGTAGTCGTCTTTATTCTTAAAATGAAAAATTTTACACACTTGCTTAATTATATATGGGGTTGAGAGGAAGACAAGTACGGAAAGGGGTGCGAAACGTGTCATTATCATCATGCCTCCAATGATGTATGTTTAATTCTGAATTTTTAGTGTATAGTCTACATAGCATATAGAAAGCTCTATCATTCACAAAAAATGTCCTAATTATGATAAGAGCAACGCATAATTCAGTTATTTTGTGTTAAACGATCAATTTACAACCAAAAAAGACTACAGTATGTAGGCTGCCTAGGCAGTATATTACAGTATAGTAACGTTTCTAATGCTTAAAAGCTGCTCCTATCATTTAATAATTTGGTAAATCAGAGGCAAAGAAACAGGCTGATCCCATATGAAATCATATAATTCATTCTTGCTCATTTAATTCAACCGTACTATGTTATACTTTAAGTTATACTTTCCCTCATATTTGATACTTTCTACAATCAAGGTTTTAGTATTACGTATAATCTTAAACATAGGTAACTGGTACTTTTAATTCAACAATATCACTAAGACAGGAACAAACCAATTTCCCTATGTGGACATTTTTATATAGTATTTTTGTGTTAAAGTAAGACTTTTATGTAAGGATAGTTTGTATATTGAGTGTTTTAGACCAAAAGCGTATGGCAAAATCTGTCTTTGCCATATAAAAAAATATGGAGTACTAAAAAGTTATACCAGAGAGTACTTTTTATAAAATCAAAAGCATTAATTTAGTTGCTATGATTTATAACGCTTATTCCGCATTTGATGTACTCTAATATTAAAATATAAGTATTACCCATCATTCCAGGCCTCCTGAAAAACTATTTTTAAAAAATGTTGAACTCCAAATCGGCACTTCATTTTACTTATTCTTTCCTTTGGTGATGTTATCTCTACAATGTAAAAATCTTAAATGAAGGTTAGGGTATTGTGGGTATAAAAAATTAATTGGTTGTATTTTAAGCTTATTCTTGTAGAGATCAATATTATTTTCTTTGGTGATGTTACATAGGTATATCTGTTGTATGTAAAGCACATGCTTTTTTTTACGTAGGTCTGTCATATATAATTTTTTTTACAAAAAATCGATTTCTTACCTAGTGTTCTTTGTCTTGTGTTCCTTATAGTGCTGACGAGATTGCAATCAATCTTGTGCAATCATTGTTAGTTTTCAAAGGTATGTCATTTGAGAAACCGTTTTTTTCCTGTCTTTTTAAAAACCGTTTTATGCAGTAATTCACTGTCTGATTGATTAGAAAACCGTGGAAGTGCTCTGATTAGATTTGTTTATTCCTGTGTTGTTTATTTGGCTGTGAAACTGGAGATTAGACGAAAATCAATTATGTTTTCTTTGTTAGTCCGTATACAAATCTTTGGCAGATCTTTGGATGGTTCTTTTATTTCAAATTTGTAGCTCCGCCGTTTTTTTGCCTATTTGTTTATCGTTTTTGTGCTTACAGTTTATCTGCATAACTGGGCTGTGGTGGTATTAACTATTATGTTTAAGGGAAATTGGTTTATTTAGCCCTCAAGTTGTTGTTGTTATTGTGATATATACTGGAGTCACAACACAACGTTATT